CATTACTGTAGATGGGGAAGTTGTAGTGCTAACTTTACCTTTGAAATGAAATCTAATCAATACAGATTTGTAAATGGACATCATTTTCATAATCATGTTGGTGAACCACCGTCTTTTAAATATATACATATATAAATATATACATATATAAATATATACATATATAAATATATACATATATAAATATATACATATATAAATATATACATATATAAATATATACATATATAAATATACGTATATAAATATATACATATATAAATATACATATATAAATATACATATATAAATATACATATATAAATATATTTATATATATAAATATATAAATAACAAAATACAATCAAAAAATAGTGTTTGAAAATTTAAGGTTAAGTGTCACTTTTCTATTGTCACTTTTTCGTAAATTCTACCACACTCGTCTGGTTGTATCTGAACTTCTTCCTGTGGAGTTTCTTGTACCTCATCTGCTGGCATTTCATATATTCCGAGACCGTTTTTAACAAGTTCCCTATCTAAGTCATCCGGACTCATAAACCTTTCTTCTTTCGTTCCGTCTCTATTTTTTACGCGTTTCATGAAGAGAGTTGAATTGTCATTTAGCTCTGACACCAAATATCTCGGAGTAAATTCAGTCATGTCATTTGGATGATATGCTATTAAATCATATCCCTTAGCGAGCTTGTATTTTCCAGGTTTGAAATTATATCCCATTTGGTGCTGAGCCATAAAGCTAAATAGGTTCGGGTCAGTATTTCCTTCCTTGAACTTTCTAATAGCTTCTTTATATCTGTCACTAAAGTCAAGAGTATTTGGGTAACCATAATCTTCCTTTAGCATTTTTAAGAATTCTTGGTTTCCTTGTTCTCTACTTCTTTTATGTCCTTGCTCTGTTTGTGGTTGTTGTTGTGCAGGGTTTTGAACTGTTGGTTGCTGTGCTGGTTGTGGAGGTGGTTGTTGTGCTGGTTGTTGTTGTGCTGGATTTTGAACTGTTGGTTGTGGAGGTGGTTGTTGTGCTGGTTGTTGTTGTTGTGTTGGTTTTGGTGCATGCCTGTGTCTGTGTCCATGTGACGATGTAAATGTTTTAGGTAGTCCTGGTGCAGGTGCTTCTCTTGGAGGGTTTGGTGGTATATAAGTTCCACCAGCTGGCACATATGTTCCATCTGCAGCATAATGTCCTACCTGACTTTTCGTTTTTAAGAAAGCATTTACTAGGTCTGTTTTGGTCTGTTGTAACTCTTTTTCTTGACTTTCCACAACAGTTGCTCTAACGGCGTCAATGGCACTTTGAACTGCCTGTCTCGTTGCTGCATCTGTTATTTTCGTCATATTTTGTGCTACTTCTTTTAACTCTTTGTCGAAACCTTCAGACTTCAGTTTCTTTCCAGATGAGAAGTCGTTCACTAGTTTCACCTTACTATGAAGAGCTTCGAAGGCATTCTTAAAGTCAGCATTCATTAAAGCTTCATTTGAACTGTCTTCATCCGCTTGTATTTTTGTCCTTATTGACCCTATAAGTTGGGCTGCTTTAGCGTTGGCTTGGGCATCTAACCAGTCATTGTTAGCTTTTATATATTCTGCGCTTTTCATTGCCTTTTGCATGGCTGCGTCGTTATTTTTACTTTCTTGTGCTAAGTTTTCATACTGTACGGTTTGGTTTTGCAACTGTAAAAGTTTTTCTGCCTTTACATTTGCTTCAACTTCTTTTTTATACTCATCGCTATCCATATATGTCTTCAGGGCTTTTTGTTTTATCTCTTCATCTTTCAGTACTTTATATTGAGTAGTATGGTTTTTCAAATTTATAACATCTTGTTCCATTTTTGCTACTTCTGCTGCTTTTTCTGACACTTTTTTCGCATATTCCTCTGTACTTAGTTCTTTCAGTTGTTCTTCTTTCTTCTTTTTCTCTACGTTTAACTCATTGAGTTTCTTTGTGTGTCTGTCATATTCTAGTTTCTTTTCGTTTTCACTTATTTGTTTCTGTATGTCTATGTTTGACTTTTTGACATCTGATATTTGATTTTTGAGTGAACCCAAATTCATTTGACTTTGAGGGTTATAAGCTGTTCCGTCTGCAGCTCCACCATAGCCTGCCATTTTCGCTAAAAGTGCCGCTCTTAAACCTCCACTCTGTGCACCAATAACTCGGTTTAAAAGCATAGGGTTGCTTGACATTTGTTGCAACATAGTGGGGTCATTCATTATTTGTTGTTGCAACTGTTGTTGTGGTGTCAGTTTTACTATTGGATGTTTCAATGCTCTCTTCCTCTTACGTATATTCTTACGTAGCTTACGTGGCATTTTAAGTGAAGTTAAAAAGCGGTTTTTGACAGATGTTTATATGACACTTTTTGTTCAGCACAAAAAACTACTCGGTCAAAGTGTTGTCAGTTTTGTAAAATAACTGTCCTATCGTTCTATAATGGGGAAAAGGCTTCTCAAAGTATACTTCCTTGGAACGCCTGTAACTTTTCCTGTAGCGACGATAGACCCTTGCTTGTCCGGACAAAGTTATACTATTTTGAGTGCTCTACAAAAAAAGTCAACGGCGACGACTCTCAAAAACCGTTGTGTAAAAAGTTTTACCGTTGGACAAAAAAGTATATATAGAAAACAAAAAACGTTTATAGTTCATTCAATATTTGAGATGGAACGGTTTGCCAACGGAGACTTTTCAATAAAATAAAAAAATAGAGGGGGTTACCGTTGACGAAAACGGTTTATTTTAAACTTTTCTATGAGTAGTCCGAAAAAAACAGTTTATTTTTCATAATGGAAGGAAGAAAAAGTGTCGCAAACAATTCGTCGACTACCTCTGCAGTTAAAGTTCCTACAACTTATGTCTCACCATTCTCAAAACCCTTACGACCTCCTATAATACCAAAGCAACTTCCTCATACAATTCAAGACAATTTGTTGGACAATATGCATTTGCACAAAGAAACAGCTCAGCCAACAGGTCAGGCAACAACAACTATCGGAACAGAAGCATTTTCAGAAGAAGTTCATACCAATCAGACTCCAATCGAACATACAGAAACACAACCACCCGAAAATACAGAAACACATCCAATCGAACATACAGAAACACATTCTGCAATGACCACTAGGTCGCAAACACGATATCTCGCCTTTTGCAAACAATTTAAGTCTCAAATTCAAGACACACAAGATAGCGACACTCCTCTTTCAGAGAAAGTTCGTAGAAAATACGCAAAGAAAAGGTTAGAATTGTTAGATAAGTTAAATGAACAGTGGGGTTCAGAAGACAATCGAGATTATAACGAGATGTTTCAAGCTGTCATGGATGCCATTCAGCCTCTTGAAAACGAAATAAAAGACCCTGGCGTACTTGTTGACATGTTTGCTTCATATTTACCCGTTACTGCCAATCTCATAGCGTTGCAAGCTATTGACCAGTTCATTCACTTGTTTCCAAAGAACTTGCAGAAGCATTTACAAGAAGTTAAAGTTGCTGAATTTGTCCGTTTATATCCAAATTCATACAATTATTTGGAAGAATTGAATGAACATGGTGAAAGGTCATTCTATTTATATTTCTACACAAAAGACAACCAGTCAAAACGACTATACTGCATTGAACCTATGCCTCAATTCGTAGACAATTTCCACGTTATAACAACTGTTGCTTTAGATATTCCTGCCAGAGTTCCATATGGAGGAACAGTAACTATCTCAAGCTTTCCCAAGGGCTATAAAGGAAAGCCTCTCACAATTGCAAAATTCACACACAGCAGTTGCCAATTTGTTCAAGATGTCGAGTTCCATTTCCTCAACAATACGACTTTCATCATAGAGACTCCTCAAGAAGGTATATACAAAGTTTTCATTGCAGGATTTGTTGCTCCCATGGCGAAGAAGAAGAAGTCGAAGAAATTCTCACCTCAGAGAGCGAAGAAGAAGAAAATTTCCAAGACATTCAAGATTCAGAATATACCGAATAAAAAAACAATTTAAGACTAAAAATTTAATTTTATTAGGGAAAACCGCAACCACTTTTTTTAATCACGATTTAAATATATAAATCGCGATTTTTCTAAAAAATCGCGACTTTTTTAAAATCGCGTTTTTTAATGAATTGCGATTTTATTGTGGTCGCGATTTTTCAAAAAAATCGCGATTTATATGGAAAATCGCGTTATTGGTTCAATCTAAAGATCATTATTTAAAAAGTGAACTAAAAAATATAAATATAAGAATAAAATAAAAATTGTAATAAGAATGTTATAAAAAGTTTTTTAGATTTGAGTTGCCGATAGGCTTGAGCAAATGTATTTTTATTGCTAAAGGTTTTTTTTGTTAGATTTATGTAATATTTTTTTAGTTAAAGGTAAATTATGATTAATTAGTGCAGTAAAGTAAGACTTCAAGAATTTTGACCAGTAAAGTGGGATTGAGGTATTTGTTATCGAGATTGTTTGATTTTAGATCTCTGATTTCGGCAAGTATGCAGAAAAACCATATTGTGAGCAGTCTAAAATGGATAAACAGCCATTCTAGATTCAAAAAATCTTTGTGAATTGCTTTGTTATTGAATTTAATTGCGACCTTTTCGCTTAATGAGGTCCAAAATCATGGTTCCGATTTGTTCTATGTTCGCGATTGATAAAGAAAATCGCGTTTAATTTTGATCACAATTTTCCATAAAAATCGCGATTTTTTAGAAAAATCGCGACCACAATAAAATCGCAATTCATTAAAAAACGCGATTTTAAAAAAGTCGCGATTTTTTAGAAAAATCGCGATTTATATATTTAAATCGTGATTAAAAAAGTGGTTGCGGTTTTCCCTATTATAATATTTTTATTTTTTTCATCTGGTCTTTGTATCATTCCTCCTCTAGTTTCTTAGGGGCTAGAGGGCGCAACGCGCCTGGAAGCCCCACTACCTTTTTTTTTTTTTTATATTTATAATCAGCATATATCTCCATTAATAGTCTCATATAGAGCGCTGTGCTAAACGCACCTTTGGACACCCTATATTTCGTTCAAGTTCTTTGGAAGTTTGATATTTCTCAATGCTCCACAATTAGAAAATGCACCATCCTTAATAATAGTAACGTTATCCGGAATTACAATTGATGTTAATCCTGACCCTGTGAAAGCAAATTCCTCAATGATTTTTATTTGAGGAGGGAGTTCAATTTGTTTCAAATTTGATGCAACAGCAAAACAGTAAGATCCGATTGCTTTAACTGATTTAGGTATTTCAATTGATGACAATGAAGTTTGGAAAAATGCTCCTGAGCTTAATGAAGTTACAGAAGGCAATATTTGGTATGAACCGGTTATTGCACTGGCGAAGTAAATTAATGTAGTATTTTTCATATCATATATGACTTTCCCATCACTCCAAAAGTTTTTATTCGATGGATGGACAGAAACTCTTTCAATTGTGCGAACACCGCTAAATGCTGTTCCTGACATGTAACTAACACTCTCAGGAACTTGAAAAGAAGTTAAACCATCCGATATAAAGTTATTAAAAACAATCCTCTCTAATTTGGAATTTGCTGCAAACGTAATTGTTGTTAAAGTTTTCATTCGGCCTACGCCAGCTGAACCGATCGATTTAACTGTTGATGGAATAATTATCGATGTCAGTTTCATGTAGCTGATTGAATACGTTCCGATTGTGGTCAGTCCTTCTGGAAGGAGAATGTTTGTGACAGATGAACAGTATGCAAATGCATATTTACCAATCGAAGTAAGTTTTGTGCATTGAGAAAGATCAATATTTGTCAATGATGAACATTGATAAAAAGCGTAGTTATTGATTAATCTTAATAACGGATTTGATTGGAAAGAAAATGATTTCATTGTAGATGTCACAGCACGAAATGCATATTCATTTTCATCTTTACCATAAATTACTTCACATTTTGAAGAAATAATTAAATCAGGTTCATCTGATTGTACACTTAAAAGTGTTTGAAAGTTATTTATATAACTTGCATTCGGAATATCTGTCATCGCTTTTAAATTATTAAATTATTTTATAACTATTTACAATAAGTCGGGTTAATTGAATATCTGTATGTTTCCATCAATTAAGGTGATTTGCTAAATATTTATTGCGTTAATTCGAATATTGATAATCTTCACTATATAATTATTGAATAAAGAACCAATATCTATTAAAAAGTAATATGTTATTGATGGTGCGTTACCATTTGTAGTATTTGCAAGTTTGTGTAATATGAAATCGTATAAAATTATTGGCATTCATAATCTGAATTATGTAAACTATTCAATTAAAATTTTTGCCAAGTTTATCCATGAAAACAATGGCTAAGAATTGCTAGTCACATCAAGCAAAGACATTGGAAATAATATATTTTGATCAACCTCATTTGAAGAAACAACCTTTGATCTGATATGAAAGAAAATGTTAATTTATTATGATAAACCTGAATGTTAAAATAGCTACTTTTCAATAAAAGAATATTTTAGAGATAAAATATTAAGACAGATAATAAAATAAAGAAAGGATATTAATTTTGAAATCACTGCTTTGGAGCTGGGTAACGTGGTTGAGCAGGAGTTGGAACAAAGTTAACGAGATGGCAGAATTCGTCGACTTGGCGAGGAACTTCCTCCAAAACTTCGGCAGCAAGGGCCGGGCCGCCTCTTGAAGCGAATTCTCTGAATGGAACGAACTGGACGATATCTCTCTTCATGACTTGGCCGTTTGTAGCTCTGAGAGGAACCTCATCTGCGTCAAGTCTGTCCATTTCCTCAAAATCGGCCTTTCCGACACCGACAATGATGATGGAGAGCGGGGCATCAACAGTGGCTGCAACAATTGCATCAATTGTGGCAGACATATCGTTAATAATGCCATCCGTAATAATAAGTAAAATTGTGTAAGTTCTAGACTCTGCGAATGAAGCTCTAGCAACTCCTGTTGCTGCCTGAATAACTGGAGCAAAGAGAGTTGGTCCTGATAAGCGTACATTGAATAATGAATTTCTGTAAGCTCCGATGATGCCCTGGAGGCCGTCAACGTTCGGATCGTTTGGATTGAATGTAAGAGGGAAGCAGTGGGAGACTTGTCCGCCAACAATTCCACCAAATCCGAAAACTGGGAATTTCTGATCGGAATCGTAAGGACAGATAACGCCACCGACAGACCAGATGCATGTCTCGTACTGATTTGGAGCTTGGTTGTTGATAAAGTGGAGAGAATTTGCATTATTTGGATCTCCGTTAGAAGCAGTAAAGTCTATGGCTGTAATAAGGTTCAACTGGAGTCCTCCGCGAAGGTAATCAACAAATGTTGGATGCTGTGTTAATTGGATGGAGCCAATTTTGATTTTACCCATTTCTTTTCCTTTGTTCTTGATAACGAGTTCCGTGCCTGTATTTTCCATCATTTCCTTGAGGGACATTTGAGCGGAGCCAATTAAGTAGTCCAACTTTCCTTCGCGGAAATCATAAGCAGAAAGTGTCAAAGGAACATCCATATCGCCGTTACATAATGACTGAAGCGGGATCTCAAAGGTTTTGATATTGCAGGAGTTGCATTTTGGATAAACTGCCGAACGATATGTTGGAAGTAGTTTTCCTGTTTCGCTTGGCTTTGAAATGACGAGATATGGACGGTTTGAATGGAATGTGCGTACTTTCTTCAGATTCTTGAAAGCGAAATCCATTTTAACGCGAGAATTGCAAGATTGAGCTTGTTCCGCAATAATAGTTAAGAAGCCTCTCTTATCATGTTGCGTATCATGCTTGAGCTCTAAGACGATTTCTGTTCCTAAATTTGTGACAATGTGCTGTACATTTGTGTCACAATACCCAATGAAGTCATGGTGAGATAAATCGCCCTTTTCAGAGTCACAATCGTATACACAGAACCTTAGTGGTTGGTTTGTTTCGAAAACATAGAGAGCGCGAAGGACTTTGACCCATTGAGGATTTGGATTATCCCAAATAACTTCTGTTCTTGCGACTTCTACCATGCGGCCGTTCATTGGGATGAAAAGAACGCACATTGGGTCACTTTCACTGCCGATATCCATCTTCTTGAGTTCTTTGCCGCCAACGTGCATATCTATAATAGGAGCATCACCAGTGACTTCTGCTGAAGAAGTGTTCTGTACTTCTACCTGGCCCGAGTTTGTTGATTTAATTGACTGAGGTTTCCAAGCACCATATGCTATACTCATTTAGAAATTTAACTTTTTTGCAGAAAAATTTTAATGTAAAGTTCAGAATCATCGCTCACAGCATTTCTTATTTAGATGGAATGGAATATAATTAAACTAAAAATTAATTTTCATAAATTTTTGACACGACTTTCAAGTTAAAAAATATTACTCTTGCAATAATGAATAATTTTTCTAACGATGAGAATTTTTCAAAAACCCATAAAAAGGTGACGATGATCGGATCCCGATCCTTTTTGAGAAATTTATTAATATTTGAATTACTTATATAAACTAGAATAAATTTTAGAAATCGTTAATTGAGAGAAATTACACTCTAGAATTGAAATTTTTGATAGGAGAACGATTAAAAATTTATTTTCCAGAAACAAATTCGCACAGAAAGGGTTCAAATAAAAAGAAATCTAAATTAAAATCAGATATCTTTATATTATATAATATAAAATAAAGATGATTAGAACGCATTTTAAGCAGCTGGATAGAGAGAATCAGCAATCTTTTCATACTTAGCCTTGATCTTGTTAATCTGTGGTTTCTGGGATGGTGTGAGCAATCCATTTTCGATTGTGAATGGCTCTGTATCGAGATAGATATTAAGAATCTTTTCAAAACCGCGAAGATGTTCATCATTATAAACTTTGTCTAAGTTATCCATCATTGTCTTCTTGACTCCTTCCTTATCTGTCTCCATCTGTTTGATCAAATCGTTTGTTGGGATAACAATAGCAACTGGTCTATCATGCATTGAGTTTGCATAAACAAAGATAGACTGAACACCAACAGCTGTGCCGTAAATATCTGTAAGTGATGTGATGGAGATGTACTCGCCCTGAGAAAGTTTGACGAGTTGCTTGACTCTGTCGATGATCTGGATTGTTCCGTCTGGAAGTAATTTGCCGACATCGCCTGTTGCAAACCATCCATCAACCATAGCTTCTTTTGTGAGTTCTGGCTTCTTGTAGTATTCCTTGAACAATGATGGACCGCGGAACATCAATTCACCTGCTGGAATTTCTCCACGTGGGTCGTAGTCCATGCCTGGAACGCGGCGGAGTTTCATATCGATTGTGACGCAGACAGGACCGACAGTGTTTGGATTCCTGTCGCCGCACTGTTGTACGCATCCTGCAGCGGAAATTTCTGTGAGTCCGTAGCCTTGGATGATGTTTGGAGTGATTGTGGCGCGGCAGAACTCGTAGACGTGTGGGAGAATTGGAGCACCGCCGTTAACAATGAGGCGGAGTCTTCCTCCTAATGCTCCTGAGAATTTGGAGAGAAGGAAGGTATCTATGATGGAAGATGGCTTCTTTCCGGTAAGAAGGCAGTTATTCTTGTGATTGATGGCCCAGTTGACAAGCATTCTGACTGGAGCTGGGAGTTCGTTGATCTTCTTCATCATGTTATCGTAAATTCTGTTGAAAACACGAGGAACGGCGCAGATAATTGTAGGATGTAATGCTTGAATATCTGAAACCATATTTCTGATATCGCCTGAATAAAATCCTGTTCTTGCACCCTGACAAATCAAAGTTGTTTGTGAACATAACTCGTAGATGTGAGCTAATGGGAGGAATGAGAAGTATGTATCTGTCTGAGTAACAGAAGTGCCCATACCACCAAGACCATTGCCTCCAGCCATGATATTCTGATGAGAAAGGACGCAGCCCTTTGGTTCGCCTGTTGAACCACTTGTGTACATGATCATGGCTGTGTCATTAGTATCGAGCTTGACTGGCTTGAAATCTACTGATTCGCCAAGCTTAAACAACTCATCAATGGTTATTAGATCTGGATCTTGGATTGATGGTTTCGGATCGATAGAAATGACTTTCTGTACGCGTGGAACTTGCTTCTTGACTTCCATGGCCTTTTCTAAGTTCTTTTTATGGACAAGAATTACTTTGCATTCAGAATGATCGGTAATATATTGAGCAGCATTAGGGCCAAGTGAATCGTAAACAGGAACTGGAACGATACCGGCATATAATGATCCGAATTGAGCGACTTGCCACATTATACAATTAACTGAGTAAACACCGAGTTTATCACCTGGTTCAAGACCGAGTGCTTTGAGGCCTTTTGCCCATTTGATGCACAATTCTTTGAATTCTGTATAATTGATCCATTTATAAGGGCCTAACTTGCCATCTGCATCAACAACACGCTCGCCGAAGCAATCATGCTTAGGATAGATGACAACAGAGCTGTCAAGCATTTCAGGCAATGTTCTAACATCTGGACGATAAGTGAAATGTGTTAATGGAGCTCCGCCGTTTTCGTGAATGCGAATTGAATTGATATAAACAGGACTCTCATCTGGTGATGTGGAAGGTTCCCATTCAACTGTGGTTCCAGGACGGATATCCATATTTGATGTGATATGAAGCTCTGAAGTGATGATGTGAATTCGAATAATCTGACATAAAAGGGTTGATTTTTTGCTTTAATTTAAATGTAGATATATATTGTATTGTTTTTGAATCGTTCGCGTAAAGTCGATTAATAAAGTGACTTTTTCCATATATTTCATCTCACTGTAATGTGCTTCTTTTGGAAACAATGGATAAAATAATTGATAGTTTATTGATTTGCAATTCAAATTTGAATAATGTTCAATTTTTCAATTAACAAAATCGTTCATGATCTTAGAATGCGATGATATATATAATTCTAGCGTTTTTCAACTGAAAATGAATTGAATTCTCTGAAACCATATCTGAATTCAATCGGGTTCTCTTGCGTGGCCAATGCGATATCTGAATTAATTAGTCTTAGAAATATGTTGAGATGAGCAATTCCAAAAGGTTTAAGCTAGCAATACTGGATAAAAGCATGAAGATCTAAGAAAATGTTTTCATCTCTTTAATTTTTCATTTTCGTACTTGAAAACATATTAGCCTTTCCATACATACATAAAATTTTGACGTTGAATCACGCATTTGCCAATTAATATTTTGTTTTCTTCCATAATTGGATGAATCTATTTAGCTACATAATTTTACAAAATGTATACATGTATCAATTAAAGGAAATATCTATAAAACGTATAAAAGTCAGCATGATGGTTTCTTTGGATATGTTTGAGAAAAAAGATGACAATTCAAATGGAGAAACATATAAATGATACTGCATTGCAATAGAAGATGGAAAATAACATATGAAAGTTGATGATGCTAATGAATTTATTGGATTGTTAGATCAATAAGATGTAGGAATTAGGAAAATGGGATCGATGAAAACTGTAGATTCTTATGTTGAAGTCATAATTTTAAAAAGTAACTGTAATGGTCCCGTAGTGTAGCGGTTATCACTTGGGACTTTGAATCCCGAAATCCAGGTTCGACTCCTGGCGGGACCATAATTTTTGACTTTTTATATCGAAAGTTGTAAATGTTTCAAATCTCTAATTTTATTTTAATTTGTTTATATTTATGGTTAGCTTGTTCTGAATAAAATAATTGCTTGGCAGTAAATTCAATGTGTACAAAATAACGTATTTTTCCCAATAGGAATTTTGTGAAATTTTAAATGTTTCGTCTGGAGCCAACAGTAGTTTATTTTCCAGACACATTTATAACTTCCGAGTCCACATTTGCTGTAGATATTATTAATGATAGCTCAGAGAAAACAGACTACAAATGGAGTGTTTATGAATCTGCATCTGCCGAAAATCAATCAATGGCTGTTGGAGATATCTTAGATTTGAATGAAAGAAACAGTAAGCAAGATATTAAGCAATTCAACAATGCAATATTTCAACCAGTTCAAAATTCAGGCGAAATTTGGCCAAAACGTAAAACAACTGCAACAATTACATTCCATCCTGCTGAAGCACGTCAATATGTACAAAATCTTTATCTAGATTTCGGTGAAAATCACAAAAGAGTTCCGATTGAATTACGTGGCACGGGATTACCACCAGAAGCATCTTTTGATGTTAGTACTATCAGTGTTGGTCATATTCCTCTCGATACAGTGCAGGAATACAAAGTGAACCTTATTAATTTAGGCAGTGTTGATGTAGATTTTAAATACGAGCCAAATCAAGAATCATCACTTAAATTTACATTCTCTCCATCAGAAGGAAAGCTAAAAGTTGGAGAAAAGATTCCAATAACTCTTACAATGGCAGCAAATCAAGTTGGTAATTTTAACGAAACATTTACTTTCAAAATCAAAGGTGCATTGAAAACTCATCCAACTTTACTTGTATATGGAAGAGTTGATGGCCCTGTCTACACAATTTCTTCGAAAAATCTTAATTTTGGTGACGTAAGTTATGGATTTTTATACTCAAAGTCATTTACAATCGAAAACAAAACAAACATACCATTCGATTATCGCCTTCATTTCGAGCAAAACACTACTTTTGCGCCAAGAGAATTCAGTGTAAAACCGGATACAGGCACTGTAGACAAATTTGCAACTAAAACTATTACTGTTGAAATGATTCCGAACTCAATACAAAACTACGAAGTCAAATTATGGATTGATATCCACGAATTCCAGAAAAATGTCGAAAAAATCAAGATATACGCGAACTGTATCAGTCCAACCGTAGTCATACCACAACCAGTAATCAAATGCGAAAATGTCTTTATCAACTATCCATACGAAAAAACGTTTACTTTCGAAAATACTTCAGCATTACCTGCAAAATACGAGATTCTAGTAGAAGACCAAGGAAAATCAGCACCTGCAAAGGTCGAAATTGCCAAGAACCAAGGAGTTATTGAACCAAATTCCAAATTAGACACTCAATTCACAATTACACCATTAATTCTCGGACCAATTACAATTCCATGCTATTTAAAGATTGATTCTAATACTGGAATTGTTATTCCGTGGTCAATAAGTGCTGTTTCCATTGGTCCAACTGTTGATATTTCACATAAACATATTAATTTCGGAACGATTCCTGTTCTTCAGAACAAATCGATACCATTATTACTTACAAACACATCTCTTATCCCTGTTGATTACTCAATCACTATTGAATCAGAGAATACTGCATTCAACGTCCAACAGAAGGAAGGAACGATTCCTCCATTAGAAAAATCTCAAATTCCTATCATTGCAAACCTCGATGATACATTAACATTCAATGGAAAACTTGTTTTGAACATTCAATACTTAAATCCAATAACAATTCCACTTGCTGCAACAGGATCGGGTACTCCAATGTATTCATCAATTCCTATGGACACAATTGATTTCGGAAGTATCTTAAATGAGAGAGTTTCAACGGTGAAGTTCACTCTTACAAATAAAGGGAGAAGAACACAAGAATTGAGGTGGTCTTACGGGCGTATAAAAGTTCCTGAAGCGGTCCAGAAGACATTCAAACTTGTCATCAATCCAGAAGTCTACACAATAGAATCGCATGATACAATAGAATACACAATACAAGTATTTTGTCCTTCAGCTGTTACTTTTACTGCTGAATTGATTTGCAATGCAACAATTGGCCGACAAAGAGTTGAATTATTCCATCCAACAATAAAAGGATCCATATTCAAACCGAACTTGAATTTCTCCACAAAACAAATAGAATTCGAATACATACACAACTACAAGAAAGAAGAAGAAATCATCATGAATTCTACAGAAAATTTGACACAGCCATCATTTGATTTGATGCCTGTCCAAGAAACAACATTCGATGTAGTAAATATTAATCCAATACCTGTAGATCTAGTAATTCAAACTCAAGAGCCATTTACGACTGATGTCACTTCACTTCACCTGGACACAAATCAACAAAGAACGATTGTTGTCACATTTAATGCTCCTTTCAAGACAGATTTCTTTTCTGAGTCAATAACAAGGAAAATCAATTTTTCTGTTGTCGATCATCCAGCCAAAATTTCCTTGAATGCTAAATGCAATTATATATTCCCCAATTTAGCATTTGAACCATCAACGAGTGTTGATTTCGGAAACATGATGTTGAACACTGAAGAAGAAGTTTCTTTAACAATGAAGTCAGTATCATCATCACCTGTTGAATGGTCATGGGAACTGATGGCTGAAAACGCTGATAAATCATTGTCAAGGATATTCGATGTATTTCCAATTAAAGGATACATTGAGCCATTCCAGTCAGACACAATTCACTTCTCTTTCTCAGCAATTGCTTCTCAGGAAGGAGGATCAAAGACTTACAAAGGAAAGGCTGTTTGTCATGTAACAGGTGGTCCTGATTACGTCATTGATTTGAAAGGAAATGCTGTGGCAATTGACTACGGAATTTCTCCACTTTCAATCAATTTCGGTGACAAATTTTACAATGAAAATTTGTCAAGTAAAATCACACTTAAAAACGGATCAGATTTGCCAATCAAATACACAACTAAAGTACCAAAATTTAACTTACTTAGCCAGCTAAGTATCACTCCAAGTGATGGAGTAATTCCTGTTGAAGGAGCATTCACTTTAACAGTTAATTGTTTATGTGGAAAACCAGGTAATTTCAATGACTATTTCCTGATACAAATTGGTCATTACGAAGAACAGAAAATCCCTATAATTGTTAATTCATATTTCCCTCAATTGATGTTGAATATTCCTCGCCATGAAACTGACTACAGTTTGCAACAAAGTCCTGAATCTCCTCCTGAAGAATTGATAAATCTTGAAAGCAAATTGGCAATCGAAAGAGAGAATCAGAAACTTCCTTATTCCAACAACAAACAAGAAAGAGAAAGATTGACATTCCAGAAGAAGATATTTAGCAAATATCTCTTCGATATCGGTCAAATAATTGTTGGAGATACTTTGGAGTTTCCTTTCGATGTTAAATCATTAGTTCCCTTGAATTTACCTGTTATAGTTAATGTTGAATCCTTAAAGAACACTGGTTTCTACATTAAATCAACAAACATAACAATGAAACCAAATGAAGAAAGTTCTATCGTTATCGGTTTTGACACTTCAAAACGTACAAATAATTTGACAGGAAATGTAGAATATTCAATTTATTTAGTACTTGGAGAGAGCCAAAACCATATAATAGAGATAGTTTTGAACGCAAAGATCGTGTTACCGAGATTCACTTTATCCACAAAAGTCTTCAATTTCGATGAAGTTATTGTTGGTCAATCAAAGACAATGACTCTTCAAATTCAAAACATGAATACTTTTCCATGTGAATTTGCTTTCCTTGATCAGATTGAATCGAATTCAAGTGCTACTTCAAAGGCATCTACAGCAAGAAGAGTTGAAACGGCCAGATCAAAGAAATCAACAAAAACTGTTCAGCCAAAGAAAGAAACAAACAACGAAGAGGAAGAAGAAGAGGAAGAGAAACTAATAATTTACCAAACTAAGCCAAGTAATGGTGTTTTACCTCCTTCTTCTTTCCAAAACATCGAAATCACTTTCACTCCTGTTGAAGGAATCAATTACAACTTCAAACTCCCTCTCAAGATGAAGCACAATCCAAAAGATGAAATGTTAAAACTCTTTGGAAAAGGTGTTCAAATGAAAATTGAGTTTGAACCTCCTTCTTTGAGTTTGCCTGCAATTTTGCCATTTTCTGACAGTTCGATTTCTGATGTAAAACTGAAGAATAACACGAACTATCCAATAGAAGTGTTTTCTTATAACTTCGACTACGAGTTATATGTCAATACTTTTATAAAGAAGAAACAAGAGTCTCAAAACAACACAGTTTCTGATGAAGCAGTTGCAAATGTTTCTAAATTCTCTATTTGTGTTATTGTTCATGGTCCAAGTCAAACTGGTCGAACAACTGTCTCTAAAATGATCTCGAAATACTTGAATGCTCGTGTTATTTCTCTTACAGAGTTATGGCAGCCAATTATCGAGAGACAAGAAGGATATGCCGCAGCGGATTTGATTGCAAAACTCGGAACAAGAATCCAAGAAAGTGATTGTATGAATGGTTTTGTCATTGATGGTTTAGATGCTTTACAACAAAACCAAGACACAGAAAACTACATGACACAAGTTTTGAAAGCAAAAGGTTGTTACGATGAATGTTTGAACAATCCATTCAATAACATTCCTCATAACAATCCAACAAACATCGAATTGGCTTTGAACTATGTTTTGGAGTCATTGGATGGTCATTATGTTTTCTTTGTCGGCTGCAAATGCACCATTGATACAATACAGAAGAGAGCTGAAGAAGAAGAAAGACTTGAAAAGAAGAGAATTGCAAAAGAAAGACAACAAGAGAAAATCGCTTTGTTCAACATGACTGAAGAAGAATACGACAAATTAAGTCCTGAAGAACAAGAAGAAATAGATAAGAAGAGAAAAGCGTTGAGAAAGAAGATAATTAAAGCAGAACAAGAGAAGCAACAATCAGAAGAAAATGAAAAAACATCAAGATCAAAACATAGATCTAAAACTTCTTCAAGAGAAAAATCTTCGCATGAAAAATCAGATAAAAAAGACGACAAACATGAAAAATCACGTGAGGAAAGACATAAAAAATCTCGCTCTAAAACTAATGAAGAAGAAAAGAATATACAATCAAATAAAGACATAAAAGAAACAAAACCGACTAAAAGTGACAAACCAAAAACAAACAAAAAAGGAATTCCATTAGATCCATTAGAGTTTTCTCAGATGCTGTTCAATATGTCAATTGGATCAATAGCTAACAAGATAAAGAATTCAACAGAGAACTTCCAAGCAATTGATCCAGCGACATTGACAACGAAAAACAATGAAGAAGAAGAAAAGAAGGAATTAACAATAGATTTGAACAAAAACTCAACAGATAATTTACCAAACAACGAGCAAAAAACTGAAGAAGAAGAAAACAATGAGCCAAAATCAATCAAATCATTGAATTCCATTGTTGTTTCAACAGATTTCTCTTTGAAAGACGTTGAAAATGAAATTACATCATTTTTGCCATCATTAAACACCATCAAAGAAAACGCTTTCACTTCTTTGATTCCAGGAGCAGTTACAGGAATGAGTAATGACATTGACGAGCCTCTTTCCAAATTCAAGGAGACTTCTCCTTATTTCTCAATTGTTGTTGATGAACCATACACAGAATTGCCTGAAGATTTAAACTCCACTTTAACAGAACAAAGTGGAAGAACAAGTAAATCATTTAAGTCGAGATCATTGAGTAAGTCAAAGAAATTGCAACAAACAAATCATGAAGACCAGGTTGATATATCAAAACTCACTCCAAGATGGAAGATCGATGCAAATTCATCAATAACTTTGCAAATAAAGTTCATGCCAACAATTCCAGGAAGTTTCAAAACAGATCTTTACTTCGGAATTCTCGGTTGCAAGTACGAAATGCTCAAAGTAAATGTTTCTGGTGCTTGCGCCGGTCCCGATGTTGACAGAAACATTTTGCAGATGTTTGAAAACAAAAGTGGTTACAACAATGATGAAAAAGAATATCAGTTTGGCCCTATTTTACTGAGTGGCAAACAGAAACAATCCAATCCTGTTTCTGAGAAAGTTACGCTCAAAAACATTTCTCAGTTCCCTGCAGAAGTTCATTGTTACTTCAGCGAAGTTAACAAACAAGTTTGGTCTGTTGAACCACAGTCAACAACAATTCCTGCAGAAGGAACAGCAACATTTAACGTAATTATAACACCACAAGCAACAGAACTCTTTAAGAATGTTTTGCAATTCTTTATTAAGGACCAACCAGAACCACTTTCTATTCCTTTCTCAGCGGAATCAACTGTTCCTTGCATCAAACTATCGAATACAAATCTCGATTTCGATAAGATAATGATTGGAAAGTCAAGAACATTGAATATAGAACTCAAGAACACTTCAAAACTCTTCTCATACTGGAGTTTGAAGAACTTAAACAACCTTGGAGATAATGTCAAATTCTCTCAAACAGAAGGAGTAATAAAACCTCTGAAATCGATGACGATAAAAGCTACTTTTTCAGCAGCTAAATCAACATCGATAAAGAAAAGTATCAATTTCGAAGTCTTTGATAAAGACAAGACAAGGGCATTTGGTACTACTCCTATCTCTGTTTTGGGAGAAGCATTTGATGTTGTTTTAGATGTACAGTTTCCGAAAGGAATGGATCATCTTTGTTTCGGCAATTTCACTCTCAGCCAAACAAAGACAATCAATTTGATGCTGAAAGATAAAGGTAAATTCCCTGTTACTTACAAAGTGATAATTGACAAGAACATCGAGCAATTCATCACTTGCAATCCTCAAACAGGAACAATCAATCCACAAGATAAACCAATTCCTTTGGTATTTTCTCTAAAAAGTGGAAAAGTCATCTCATTCCAGGATGCAAAAGGAATTAAGATGCAGATACAAGACACAAATACAAAGGTAACAACAAAGACATTACCTTTGCCTTTTACTTGTGAAACTGTTTATTCTCAAGTTCAAATTCAACCAAGTAAAAAAGTGACATTTGATTATGTCTCTATCGGCCAAGTTCCAACAAAACAAGTCACTCTTGTTAATGCAGGCAAGTTTGCCTTTGACTTCGAATTAGTTCCGAAAGCAGAAGCCAAAGAAAAAACTCCAATTTTACCTGTAGATTCGAAGAAAGGAAATTTGTCAAGTTTGTTGAAACCAAAGAACAAAAAGAATGTTCAACACGTCATAGCAGGTAACTACGTATTGTCTCCAAGTACAGGAACCATCAATCCTGGCCAATCATGTGTAATTGATGTAGAATTCAATGGAACAACTGCAGGAACTTTTTCAAATACAGTTAATGTCAAAGTTAACGAAATTGACCCTAATTCTCCACCTCCTGTCATCAATCTTCATGGAATTGTGGAGATGCCGGCCTTGGAAATTGCTGCAAGAGACAAAGTTTTCCCTGGTTTGCCTCTTTCTCTTTCTACAGAAAAATTGAAAGAAGACAAAAATGTTTTTTACGAAGATTCCGGTGTTTTGAACTTTTCCGCATTGATGATTCACGAGAAGTCCCAAGTACCTGTGAATATTATCAACACATCCCATTTGCCAATTAACGCGGAGATAAATTTGAAGTCTGCGAAATCGAAAGACAAAAATTTCCCATTCGAAGTTTCAGAAACAAAAATTGCTTTGGAACCATTAGCACAAAAACAAGTTTTAATTAGTTTCAGTCCAGTAAATCCAGAATCATACACTGGCACATTCGAATGTGTTATCAAAGGCGCACAAACTGATTCCAAGCTCAAGTTCAATGTCGAAGGAATTGGAAGTGTTCCTAACTTTAATATTGTTGGATTAGAAAAACAGAAAACAGGATTCGTTTGCAATTTCACACGTGTTCTCATTGGCTACAAGAAAGAGAAAGTGATTAATATCAATAACCCAACAGCTTTACCTGTTCCAGTGACAATACAATACAAGAAGACACCAGAATTCACTGTTTTCCCTGATACATCATCAGAAACAATTCCTCCAGGAGAAACTTTCCCTTTAGTTGTTTCATTTAAACCAACTGCTGAAACTAAATCACAATTTGATGTTATTGTTGGAATAGAGAACAATCCGAAGTCAAATGCAACAGTTACAGTGTTTGGTGAAGGTGCAATTGAAGACATTTTGTTCGAATTTTCAAATAACACAAATAATGATGAAGATCAACTTGAATTCAAGAATTGTGTTGTAGGATCAATGTCTCAGCAGATGTTTGTGATGAAGAATGTCGGAAATGAAGACTGCAAGTTCACGTGGACTAATAATACAGGAATAACATTTGTTCCTTCAGTCGGACACATAAAAGCAGGAAAATCAAAGAAAATTATCGCATCGCTTTTGGCTGACCATCCAATCAAATTGATTACTCAAAAAGTGATTTGTAATGTTCTCAAAATACAACTTGATCAACACGCACCTGATTGGGATGATTCGATGAGAACGCTCAAATACGTGAAGCGCAATTTGCAGACGCCTGTTGAGAAAGAAAACAATGTCATCACTGGTTCGAAATTGCCACCTTTGAACGCGAGAAAAGCAGCGAAAACAGCTATGTCTGTTAAAAGAAGCAACACAAACATTCCTCCAATCGAAAACCAAAGTGTTGTATCAGATATTGTCAAAGTAGCTGAAGTCAGAGAAGAACCACCTTTCAAACTATTGACGCAGAAACCAAGAGAAGTGTTTATTCACGCAGTTATGGCTGCAGATGTAGTCAAGTTCGCATTGGATACAACAGAAATTGCATTCAGTCCAACAATGATGATGCAGTCGAGATCATTCGATGTAAAGATGACGAATCAATGCCAGATCAAGTTCGAATTCTACTGGAGAGATGCAGATTACCAGGCAGCAAGAACAGACTACGCAAGCCAACACAAAGCTCCATTTGATATTGTTCCTAGGCATGGTTTCATTGAACCAGGAAGTTCTCAAATGTTCAAAGTCATTTTCGCTCCTGAAGAAGTCGATGATTTCGCTGGCCGTTTGATCTGCGACATTCCTTTCAACACTGGACAGAGTCCAATCATCAATGTTAGTGGTTTATCAAGGAGACCAATCATTTACTTCAATGTCGAGCAGTCAGACTATTTGTCAAGAAGATATCCTTCATACATAAAAGCTGTTCCTGCCGAAACAAGAATTGTCGAAATCGCTGTTTCTTCGAATCATGCTGGAAAGACGAACCATTTGAAGTTCGATGTCGTCAACACAACATCACAACCTTACGAGTTCTCGTGGACAAAGAGTTCTACAGTTGTTGATGGCGAAGAATCGAAAGCAATTGTTTGTGAAACTCCTTGTGGAATGATTTCTGGCGGAAAGAAGGTCGTAATGAACTTCTCCTTCACGCCTGGACAACAGAGAACTGTAGAAGCAAATTATGAATTCTTAATCCCTTCATTAGGAGTAAGAGTTCCTTTCTTAGTTGTAGGAAGAATCGTTCAATAATTTTTTAATATATTATTTTTTTCTTTTTATTTGTATTTTTATATGTAAATTGTTTATTATTATCGTATATATTTTAAAAATACTTATTTGCTAATATAGCAAAACTTGTAAGGTTTTATATATAAAAATGTTTCGGAAAAAAGTACTCTTTTTAAGAGCCATAAGCTAGTGTATAAATCAATTCAGAATGGTTTAATAAGTTGCAGAATCGAATATGATAGTTGAACTGGAGAAGAAAGAAAAACAAAAATAAATTGAAATAATAAAGTAATTAAAACAAAAATAGCCGTATTTTTGAAACATCTTAGTTCAGTTCTGCATTTATCTATTCTTGTTATTAACTCTGATCCATTTTGTTTGTATTGCATATTCCAATCTTTCGTATAAACTCAATATCGTAAGTCTTGTGAAGTATTACTTGATGGAATAGTTACCATTTGTTGCTATTGCAAATCTTAACAAATAAACAAATGCTTCTAATCGGTTCCACTTTTTTGAAATAAATTGCGAAAAAATAACTGTTAACTCTGAAAACTTGAAAATTATAATCCAGATCTATGATTTACTAAGCGGAAATTCGATACGATAGAAAATGAATGTTTACCATAAAAAATTCATTCAAAAATTGAAAGAAGATTTAGCTTAGAGAAAACTTAACGGGGAGTATATCATATAACAATTAATATTTTTACGCCCATTTTTCATTATTGGTCGATCTTGTCTGAATTTGATAAGCTTTTTTTCAAAAAACAAATATCACGGGTAGAATAGAAAAATATTTTTAAATAATAATATGATATATCGTTTTGAATTAGAATGTCGTTCAAGAAATTAGAGGAAATTTATAATTATAATTTTATCATGAATCTAAGCTCATTGGAAATACCCCCTGCGTTTGAAGGAATGCAGCACACCTTTCAAACCCATTACAGTGAGTTTTATATGGAAATGGTTCATATTAGCAATAAAAACCTCGGAAATTCGATAGAAAAATACGTCCAAATGGTTACGACTCTTTCTAGAGGCCCATCGATTGAGAATTTGATGCGTGCAGCAATAGGTGTCACTGCATTGCATCAATTTGGCAATAATGATTTCACAAGGCTCACTGGAATTTTCGATCGACTTATTCCTCAGAATGATTTAGAATACGTTCGATTTACAAGTTGGTGTGCCGGTAAGCTTGTTCACCATCCAAGTTTTGAGCAGTCTAGATATGTTGCTCACTTATTAGAAAGATTACTTGGATGGGTCCGTGCCTATGGCCGAAGATCCCGCCATCTTGCAGCAGTCTGTCTCTTGGAATATCTATCTCTCAACGCAGGCAGCGAGGTTGTCGTATTTTTTGAACAGTGGCAATCTGCTGTTTGGACTTTGGTATCGCATCCATCAATGCAGCTTATACGCGCAACTGCATCTGCTGTTAATATGCTTACTCGTGCAATTTTACGTTATAGAAGAAGTGATTTAGACGCTTATCTTTCATTTTTCACTCAACTTATTTATAGATTACTTTCATTCGGTAGCCCATTCAAAGTATACGCTGCACTTAAGATTCTCGAGCAGCTTATTTCATCTTGTCCTGACTTCTTCAGCTCAAAATTCGGAGAATTATACGATATGATATCAGATGCCACTTCTGATGGTCCACTCCTTGTACAGGCCGAGTCATACGTTTCAATTTCACATTTAACTTACGTAGATTCAAAACAATTTTCAGATCTTTACGCAGACTCACTTCTCGAGAAAACTGATGAGATCCTCTTAGAGTTCCCACGCTGTATCGGTGCATCCCTGTCCAGGATGATCAACAACATCCCAGAATACATGGAAACTAAAATTGCCGACATCAAACAATACGCAATCAATCTTGTCAACGATCCAGATTGGAGTTTCGATCTTCTTACGGCCGCCACAAATAAATTTGGCGAAAAATTTTTGCCGATTGATGAAGATTTAATCATGAAACTGATGAAAACGCCAATGACAAACTATTTCAACAACTTCTTCATAGCGTATACAAGAGCTATAGGCGAGAAAATCAATCCTACGATCACAGAAGCACTTGCAACAAAAATCATCGATGAATTTTCTACAAGTGAAACAATTCTTGCGCTAGATCTGATTGCCGGTCTACCAGGATTCGCCCTCAAACAGAATGGAACTCTTAATACTCTAATTACAGAAAAATCTATGTTCGAAGCTGACGAAATACGCAAAGCAATACCCGCAGCACTTTATTCACTCGCAAAATCTACGAATCAACCGGAACATATCCGCGAAACTACAGAAAAGCTGTTCCAATTAGCTTTATTTGATCCTTCCACGGATGTCAGGCTTTCCATCCTTCGTGCTCTTAAGCGTGATGCTATTAAGGAGCTTGCCGATCCAGAAGCGGTCAAATTCCTTCAACTTTTCGCTAATGATGATTCAACATCCGTCAGAAACTTAGTTTTCCAGACAATTGCAGCTCTCGGAGACATAAATCCCATGTATGTCTCAAACATCACTCGCCATGCCCTTTTGGAGCATTTTTATTCGATCAAAAATGTACCGGGAATTAGATTACGTTCTCGAGTGATCAAAACCCTTCCAGACCTCATCACAGCCACCGGCGCGACCATGAAGATCTACGCTAAGCCATTTATGGAGATTGCCATGGACATATTATTGCATCCACCGGAAAAATCGACATTAGAGAACTTTTTAGAGCAAGAAGCAGTCACAAACATCGAAATTGGCCTGTTTGACTCCATTGCATTGATTGCTCCCATTGCTCCAACCATAATTGCAGAAGATTCCTATCATTTGATTCCATTTTTATGCAACAAACTCCATACAAGTGAAGACAGAGCACTTTTACTGTCAGATCTCCATCTTTTATTTGTTCTTTCATCACCTCCTGCTGCTGTTGTCCAATACAGAATCATGGCTCCACTTATTTTATCCGCGTGTTCTAAATTACTTGCGAACACACAGTCAAGAAAGGTGAGAATGGCCATTCTGAGAGTTATTGGCTCATTAGGAGTATTAGATGTTCATCAGAGATCTCCTCCAATGGGATCGCAAGCACCAACTAATTTAGATGACAGATTGACAAGGTCATTCTTCACTCCGTCGAGAGATTTAGATAATCCCATTGATGACACATTATTACTCAAACCAGAAACATGCGAACAATGCTACGTAAATGTTGTTGCAACAGCTCTGTTGAAGATATTAAATAACGATGAATTATCAGAACTATATGGAGATACAGTAACAAGTTTATGCGATGTGTTGAAGAATCCAAGGATGTTCATGCTGACTTATTTCGATCAGTTCTTCAACAGGTTCTTGGTCATTTTAGATACAGCAAGTGAATCTGACATGCAGTTGTATTTACCTATTTTATCAAAACTCATTGTTGAATCATCGCATAATTCAACACCATTCACTGAAAGAGTTTTGAATTTCGTTGTATCTCATTACAATGATAAATTAGGTGTTCTTTATTTGGATGTTATCATTGCATTAGTTACTACTTTACGAGATGGTTTTGTTCCTTACGCAACAACAGCTATTTCTTTGTTAGTTTCTTGTTTGGAAGCAATGAAATCTCAAAACGAAGAAGTTTGCGACAGAGTTTTCAAAGCTTTCTCACAAACAGGAATTTACGCTGTTGATTTGCTGTATTTGATTGTTCCTCAGATCTGCGATGTAATTGTTTCTGAACAAGCCTTGGTGGGAGTGAGAAAACTCGCTATTCAATCACTCAAAAGAATTGCACAAGATGCGGAATTAATTCTTTATTTAGGACCAATTGTAAGAGCAATTAATTACGCATTAGGTTGCAAATGCGCTGATATCAAAGATGATGTGTTCGATCTGATATTCACATTGCTCAAAACACAGGGAAGACCATTCGTAAAGAACGCAATGCCACTCATAAATTACATAAGAAGAACTGGAAGCGCAAATTCTGAATTTGAAGCAGCAATTGAATCTGCTCAACAAATTGAGAACTTTACACCGACGATAACTGCCACTCCACCGATAATTCGGAGAAAGAAAGCCACTGAACATCCATTTAGCGAAGACACATTGATAGCAAGAGCCATTACTCCAACTCTTGGATATGGAAGGCATTTGGAACAATGGTTGCATTCGTTTATGATTGTTTGTATCAATTCAAGTCCGAATGAAGATATAAGGTGTTGCACGACATTGGCGACTAATTACCAACCATTGGCAATGATGTTGTTTAAGATTGCCTTCTTTAGCTGTTGGAAGAAACTTTCACAACAAGGAAAGAGTGTTATTACTAATACTTTTCATTCTTTGTTGATTGCAACAGAAAATTACGAAGTTGTTACAAACGAAATCATGGACTTGATTTTCTTCATGTCAAAATTTGAAGACATGAAGATTCCTCTCAAGCATTTAGTCTCTTCCGCATTGAGATATGGATCAAACGCATTTGCTCTCTGTATACAACAAGATGCAATACAAAGAGGTGTCATCAAGAAGAAGATGGCGAAAATGCTCATTGATACATTCATCAATTTGGGAGAATGGAATAATGCAATTGCTGTTTGGAAACAATACAGTTCTATGATACCTAATGCAAACAAAGAAGACTTTTTAAGTAAATTACACATGTGGGATGTCGCTTTACCTATCTACGAACAAAAGTACAAACAATCGAAGAATCCAAACTCATTTAACGGATACATCAAATCACTTTCTAATTTAGGACAATGGCCAACAGTTGTTGAGAACGTGAAGAACTTCGAAGACTTGAATTTGACTGCAAAAGAGATGTAACTTCTTATTTCGCAAATGCAGCTTTTCTTCTTGAGAAATGGGTGATTTGAAACAAATATTAGAAAGCAGAAGTGTTGACTCAATCAGATGCATGGTTTTACTTTGTTTGTACAAGATAAAAACAGGTGATTACGACATTGATTCGATAATTACAAATGCTTGGTCACTTTTGGCTTCACGACCAATTACTTTCTGGGCGAATAACCAGCAGATACACAGAGACACGATGTTGAGAGCTCAGCAGATTGTGGAAGTGTTGGAAATAAGAGATTGGGCGAAATATCCAAAAAAAGACAAGATATCGAAAGAGTTTGGAACCAGAGATTGCAAACATCGCCAAGAGATTTCGAAGTTTGGTTCCCAATCATTTCAAACAGATTTAGAATCACTCATAAGGCTGATCAGACATTTTTGGACTTGTTCTCTTTGAAGTCTTTGACTCTTGGAACTAATTAAATTCAAGAGTTTTCAGCATCGTTTTCAGAGATTTAGATCTCGAGAAATCTCCTGATTTGGACAGAGTCTGTTTCGTTTTGAATAACTACAACACAGGCAACAAAGAAGAAGCTCTCAAACAGATGAAAATGCTCACACAAACTGTTAAAGGAGAACTACTTTCCAAATGCCATGATTTGTATGCAACATGGTTGTTAGAAAAGAATGAATCAATCGATACTTTGTACGAAGCTTATTCTCATCTGGAACAAATTCCTGTTGTTAATTCTCACGCAATAGAAGCATGCAAAGGTTGCCAGGCTCGTAGATGGTCAATAATATCCTGCATTTCATAAAAGATATTGTTCATTTGTTTCATCTTTCGCACTACAGTCTAAATCTCCTTGGAGAAGTTCTTGCTTTATCTTCTGGATTTCTGTTTCGAAAGTATATGAAGAAGGAATGAAGCTTTTCATTTCTACTAACATAGATGTTGGGTTCATGACTAAAGAGTTTGGTGCTGTTGTTGCAACATGTTCTTACAATAAAAATAAAAAATATTTTTTAAAAAAACTAACTTTATTTTTTCTATCTTAAGGAAACACAACAAAACTCATGAATTTCGAGAGTTTTCTACGATGGTAGAAATGAGTTTAGAAATGAGGTTAGAAATGAGGTTAGATCTAACATGCTAACATAAAAATATATTTTTATTTTTTCTATCTTAAGGAAACACACAAAACTCATGAATTTCGAGAGTTTTCTACGATGGTAGAAATGAGGTTAGAAATGAGGTTAGAAATGAGGTTAGAAATGAGGTTAGATCTAACATGCTAACATAAAATATATTTTTATTTTTTCTATCTTAAGGAAACACACAAAACTCATGAATTTCGAGAGTTTTCTACGATGGTAGAAATGAGGTTAGAAATGAGGTTAGAAATGAGGTTAGAAAACGTGTTAGATCTAACATGCTAACATAAAATATATTTTTGGTTCATTTACACTCGTTACGATGAAGAAGTCTTGACATTTTCCCGACTGTTGTCAAAATGTCATGTTGTCACCATTTTCAAAAAGATGTTAAATGACCGAGTGACCGAGTGACCCCTTCAGTAAACATCTCATTTTAACTCACTTTTTTTCTATCTTAAGGAAATTCATGAAAATTCAACGGGTGAAAAAAGAGGTGAGAAAAGAGGTGAGAAAAGAGGTGAGATCTAACATGCTAACATAAACTCACTTTTTCAGCACTTTTCCGTAGTTGTATATGAAAGACAATTCGAGATAAAAGTCATAGTACAATGGTATTATATGTTGCACACCATTTGTTGTGAACCAAACTTGAAAGTCAGAGAAACTGTTACTAGGTGGTTCGTAGAGAATTTAGAAGCAAAGTCATAAAAGTCCTTACCGATACATAGAAAAACCATTGTTGCTTGAACTGAAACTTGCATGGCACATAACATTTTGAGGGTCAAACACGTTTCTATAAACTGTCAAATCTGCTGGTGGAAGTATAAATTTAAATGGACCATCTGTGGTAATGGTTCGTTCTGGTTTAGTAACCGAAGAAATTGTGCCCAAGAACGTTTGTCTACTTTCCAAAATAAAAACTCTGTATCTCTTGGAGGTTAATTTCAATCTTTTGAAATGAAACGGTGGAGTTCATCTTGTCATATTCTAGTTTCAGATAGTATGTTCCATTTAGTAAAGAGTCGTATTTTTCTTGAAATTCCCAATAGTATTTGTTCATTTGAGTTTGAAAGTCATTTAGAGTTTTCTCAAGACTTTCGTCTGAACGAACTGTAAAGATTCTCATTTCATCAAATTTGTCTATTAGACCATCAGAACCTTTATACTGCCCATGAAAATATACTGCGAACATAAACGCGTTAGTTCTATTTGAAAACAAAACTCTTCTAAATCCTATTGCCTTTGCATCTGAAGGACTTTGAAGCCAACGAACTGGATAGTCAAACCTGTATGCTCGGGATGAAATTTCTTCATCTGAAATAGTCCTACCAGCATTTGTAAAGATATAGTCTAACGGTTTTGTATCTGCACTTTTGTTCTTTGTTTTTCAACCTGAAGCATTTAATATATGTAAAAATATATTGTTTTAAAATGGTATGCCATTTCATATTTCTCATCTAACAAACAAGTTCTGAACGGGAAGTATCCAGCATGTTGTCTGACTGCTTGAGGGTTAGGTTGGTACCATCGAACTTGACACTTGCAATTCCTTCAATTGCATTCAAAATGTCTGAGTCGGAGTCAACCATTTGTTCTCTCTTTAGTTCTGAAAGCGTCAAGAAGTTGTGCGGCTTGTTGGACATTGCCATGTGCATAGTAAATGTGACCATCCAAATCTGTTATGGTCAATCTGAGATTGTGTCCTTTCTTATTTCCGTCTTGTATGGCAGCAAGTACACCCATGAAGCCTTCTTTGTTCTTTCCTTCGTCAAAGTTTACTGTAAAGGTTCGACCAGAAGTAATTTGACTTCTAACTTCACGGTACTTCTCATATGCATATCTTGTTCTTTCCATGGGAACATGTGCGTCTTCACCTTTTCCTTTTTTCCTTCTCAAAGGATGCAATTGTTCGTCATGTTTCCAGTAGAATCTGGCAAAGCCGTCGTGTCCTTCAACTTGAGGTTCACTAACATCGAAAGGCATGTCCATAAGACGTTCTTCTTCTAACCTCTCTAGTCTGTTTGGATAATTTGCACGTGCTTTTCCAAATCCATTTCGTAGCGAAGACCAGACAATTTGTCATAGACTTTTATGGGTCTTCCCTTCCTATATTTAAAATTCTTCGAAACTCTCCAAACCATATCTTTTGCAACTCTGCTTTTATTCTAGCAGATTTCTATCCATTC